TGATGATGATGATGATGATGATGATGATGGAGTCACTTGCCAAAGGACGGGAATGTTCTTTGCTGACCTCTCCTGTCTGTTGAAGTGACAGGTAAAGTTTGCCACTTGGAACTAAAACCTTCTAAAATATATAATATAAATGTAAGTATTGAGTAATTGAAAGGGCTAGCAATGAAATTTATGATATCTGACATTTTTTTTTGCATTTGAGGGGAGATTTGTCTGTTTTGGCTCTTTAAATATGTGTACCCTTTTCCATCACCCTTCATTTGTATCTTTTATGTGGTTTTGCTTTTCGTTAAAGAGGATGACTATCCTCAAAGGAGGAGGATTAGTCTTTGGTTAAGAATTTGCAAAGAACTCTGGTTTCTCACTAGAACTCCCAAACAATGTGTTGTGGCATTGTTCTCCCTTCATCTTCATTTCTGAATATCTTTATTATTAGCTATGTTTACTATTTTATTCTTCAAAAAAGACAACTCTCTGAATCTAGAACTGGATTTCAGTACCAAATGCACTAGTAGATTTGTGTGTGTGTGTGTGTGTGTGTGTGTGTGTGTGTGTGTGTGTGTAAGAGCTATGCTTGATTTTGTTGATGAAAGGTCTTCGTTGTGTTTTTCTTACTCCACAGGTTATTCTATTTTAAGGGACAGATATTGGACTGGAAAAGGGGAAAGAGAAGGATCTGACATATAGTGCTAATTATAGTAGCAATTTATTATATACTATGTGCCAGTCATTGTGCTAAGTAGTTTATACATGTAATATTTTAAAATCCCCATTTTATAGGTTAGGAAATTGAGGCTCAGAGAAGTTCATTACCCAAGTTCTCATTGTTAGTAAGTAGAAGAGCTTGAATTCAAATGACACCTGGCTCATTTGCTATATACTTTGAACTCTTGGTTCCTCCATTTTTCCATCTGTAAAATGGAATATTTCTTTTTGTGTGTGAAAAGCTCCAGTTTTTGGGGGTGGGGTGAGGAGGAGGATTGAGGAGACTCTTGTAGTGACAGCAGAAAATTACAGATGTATAATGAAATGAATGAATGAATGGTGAAAGGTTTGGAGAAGCTGGAACATGGGGGCAGAAATGAAAATAAAGACACTACAGGCCGATATTGTCTATGTTCTTGTGGGAGTGCAAGTTATAGTTGTGATACCAGAAGGGAATGAGGAAAGGGTGCATATAGAATTTGTAAAATGCCCTTCGAAAATCTTGTTTGGCTCCTGATATAAAGGGATTTATTACTGTTATTTGGTGTGATAGTACTATTGTGATTATGCTATAAATGTCTTTATTAGTCAGAAATTATACTAAAATATTAATAAGTGGAGTGATCTGATTAATACCATTTGTTTTAAATACTCAAGCAAAAATAATATTGTGGACAGGAATAGATGGCACTAGCAAAGTTGAGTGTTGGGTATATGGGCTTCATTTTACTTTTTTCTCTCCTTGTATGTCTTTAAATTTTTTTTTAATCCTCACCTGATGATATGTCTTTATTGATTTTAGAGAGAGAGAGGAAGGGAGATTGCGAGAGAGTGAGAAAAACATTGATATAAGAGGGAAACATTGATCGGCCCTGACCAGGGATCCAACCTGCAACCTGGCTATATTCCCTGACTGGGAATTGAACCAGCAACCTTTCTTTGTATGGGATGACGTTCCAACCAACTGAGCCACACCAGCCAGGGCTGTGTTTAAAATTTCTATAGTAAAAAAGTAAACAAATAAAAAAACCCCAAACCAAACTTGTTTCTCTACAAAAGCTTCATGTGGAAATAAAGGACAAACAGAGAAGAAGCAGTTATATTAATGAGGACTTCTAAATGCAGTGGACCAAAAGGATACAAATAACTTGACTATTAGCTTAGTGGGTATCAGACAGGACTCCAAATTCTCCTCTGTTTCTATAACATTACCCCCCAACCAAGGTTCCCTCGGCTTGAGCTCTTTAACAGTAATAGGGATTTAAGTTGTGTCCTCAAATGGTGTAGTTAGCCTGGGCACCTTCTGCCCTCAGGGGTTCTTTTCTGTGCTTCTTATCCAACAGAGGATGGGAGCCTAACTCATTCTGATTAGAACAGGGACCACTTTAGCTATGCTGTAACCAGTATAGTTTCTGCTTCTCCTAAAATTATGTTTCCCAAAATGTCCTTCCTAGGGATGTGCCTCTCTGAAGGGTATTTCACTTTCCTTCGTCACCTAGAGGTACGTAGCTGACTCAGAGATGAGCACTCTGTATATCCCTCTGCTCTGACCAGTCTCTGAGCTGGTCAGGTGTGACTGGGGCACATATCATTCTCTGACCATGAGGCCATGCCTGGTTTCTCATGCGGTTCGTCACTCAGAGTGGGTTCTCTGTCTGCCTCTCTGACTCTTGGAATAGCCTTGCTTTCTTTCCATCCTTTCAGACACAGAGCATCCTCGGACCTTCAGTGGTTTTCTGCCAGACCAGCTCCACACCCCAAAATGGCCAGTAGTGGAACTGGAGACTTAGGAAGAAAGTGATACAGAAGTTCTTGTGATACAAATTGTTTTTCCAATAAGTAATAATAAGATGAGGTACAGGGAACTTCAGTGTCATAGCCAAGATCCAAAATTAGTCCATGAACACAGACAATAGGGTAGTGAAGGCCTGGGGCAGGGGTGGGCTGGAGGGGGTCAATGGGGGGAAAAAGGAGTTGTATATAATTCTTTGAACAATAAAGATTAAAACAAAAACAAAAAACAAAATTAGTCCATGACAGGAATATAAATTCTAAACTGCTTTGTTGTACTAAAAAATCATATATGTGGATTCATTCATTCATTTATTCAACAAGCATTTATTTATAACAAGGCACTCATTAAATGCTGGATATCCTATATAATAAAAGCCTAATATGCTAAGTGTCCGGTCATCAGGTTTCCATTCAACCAATCAAAGCATAATATGCTAATGATATGCTAAGGCCACTCAACCGCTCATTATGACGTGCACTGACCACCAGCGGGCAGATGCTCCGACTGGTAGGTTAGCTTGATGTTGGGGTCTGGCTGATAGAAACTGAGCGAGATTGGCCGGACGTCCTGGAGCCCTCCTCTCGTAAGCCCTCCCCAGCTGGCCAACCTCCTGTGTCCCTCCCAGGCCCTGTTTGTGCACTGGTGGGGTCCCTCGGCCTGGCCTGCGTCCTCTCACAATCCGGGACCCCCTTGGGGGATGTCAGAGAGCCAGTTTCGGGAGAGAGAGAGAGAGAGAGAGAGAGAGAGAGAGAGAGAGAGAAGAAAAGGCAGTTTTCTTTCCATGGCACTTGTTATTGACCAGAGACGCTGCCTCGTTTTGCTGATTTTAGACACTGAGAGTTTGTTCCTTAGTCTGGAACAGTGATTCTCAAATAAGGGGCAGGTTTGCTCAGGGGGGTCTCTCAAGCCCCTCTAAAGAGGTTTTGTCTGGTACAGCAAACCCCTATTCCCCCCAACTGAGAATCTGCACATAAGGATAGAAATTCCTGACAGGAGTGTGTTTGTACATGTGAACATTGTCACAGGCAGAACAGAAATCTAAAAACCCTTAATCTGTGTGGAGCAGACACCAAATTTATGGAGTGATTTTTTTTTTTTTCTGATTAAGAGTAAGTTACAAAGAAGTCATTTCTCCTGTAGCTAAACTCCACGACTAGGCTCCACGCTCCACAGCTGAGAACAGTAAGTTCACCTATTTATCTGGGGTAATCATATAGGATTAAAGAAATAGAATTCCCCCCTCCCTTTTTTTTTTTTAAAATAACTACAATTCTATCCTTCTAAAAAGACAATTTCCAGAAAGACCTGCCTGTCCCAATGAGGTACTTGACACTAGGAGTAGCACAGGCGAGTCACAGTGTGGTTTCTTAGAAGACTGCCGTTTCTGTTGTGTGTGTTTTTTTGTTGATACTGTACAAGGGGTCCACCAACTTGTTATGAACAAGAACTAAACCTTTGAAATACTTGACCAGTCTTCCCTTTAAGCTCCAGGGTGGCATCCTCATCACACACAAACACGGTGCGGAGATGCTGTGGGAAGGCAGACATGGTGCACCTATGGCTCACTCCCTCCTCTATGGCTTTGTACAGAGCAAATGCCCTGTGAGCACCTGTGATGAGGATCGTCACCTCTGTAGCATCCATGTGAGTGCCCATGCCCACCATCAGGGCTATGGTGGGCACCTTGGTGAGATCTCCATAGAAGAATCTAGCTTTGTCCAGGGTGATGTCCATGGCTAGTGTCTTCGCACGGGCCCTGAACACCAGCCTGGAACCCGGCTCATTGAAAACAATGTACCTGTCAGGGCCGATGCCTCCAACAAACAGCTCAGTCCCTCCTGCAGCCTTGATCTTCTCTTCAAAGGCGTCCCTCTGAGCCTGCAGGTCAGCTGCATTCCCATCCAGAATGTGGGTGTTTTCTGGGTAGATGTCAGTGTGCTTGAAGAAGTTGTCCCGCATCAAGGACTGGCAACTCTGTGGGTGGTCTTGAGGAAGACCCACATCCTCATCCATGTTGAAGGTCTTCGCTTATTTGAAGGATAGCTCTCCATTCTTGTAGTATTCAGTTAGCTTCTTATAGTGGCCAAGTGGGGTGCTCCCAGTGGGGAGCTCCAGGGTGAAGTACTTGTGTGGTCCTGGGTTGAACCAGATGATGACATTCCTGATGTATTTGAGGCCCAGTCACTGGCTGAGAATAATGGTCCAGGATGGTGAGCTTCATCTTGTCACAGATGCCTCCCGTAGTGGCTGCAGCAGCTGCACTTTTCTTCTTCTTTTTTTCTAATGACAACTTTAATGTGAACATGTGTTTGACTCTCAAGAAACTGTCATAATTTAAAGGGAAGAGGAAGTTGCCATTGAAAGGAGTACAAGATGCTGAGGGTTGGATGGCATGCAGTTTCTGGATCCAGCTGATACTCAAATATATCAAAGCAATTCATAACATCAGTCACTTGAACAATTGGAACTTCTTCAACTACGGATGCACTTCTCCCTTGGTGTAGGGACGGAGTGCAATGCAAGTGGTGACATTCTCTGGCTGCTCCTTTTGCAGTGTCTCAGCCAGCTCCTTTGCGGGGGGGTGGGGGCGTGGGGGGTATCTCATCTGGGGCCTCAAGGACCACCTTGCTCATGCGCCCCTGCTCCCGGAGCTAAGCAACAGTGTGTGGGTGGTCAAGGTGAATGTGCAAGGTCGCAGTGGTTGTGTGACAAGCCTGTGCCACTGGTGCGCCCGCTGGCCAGGAGAACGGTGCTTGCCATAGATCCTTTCGGGACACCAAGTATTGTACCAAGATCTGTGGCTCCACACCAGGTGCCACCATCTTCCTGCCCAGGCCTGACCTAGTCTGCAGAGCACGCCGGGATCAGGGAGCTTTTTTTTTTTTTAAATAGGACGTCAACATTCATTCTTGGGTAGAGTATCTCATCTTTCTGATATTAATAACAGGTTTTTAAACGTATTTTTCCTTCTACATAGATTACTTTTCTCCAAGCTGATTTTCTGTTCCTTCTGGTCTGTCTTCTATGTTAGAGGCTTTCTTTATGGTTCTTTGCTATCTTTATGGTTAAGGGTTGGGACTAAGGAGCTGACCTGAGCACATCGCTGGGGGCATTTATTGGGAAACCCCTGATGTCACTGTCTTCAGGTCTTTCGTCTTTGACTGGTTAGGTTCACAGAAGGAAGGAGAGAAAAAGAGGATTCCAATCTCCAGCCTGAGGGGAAAGGGTCTGTCTGCTAGGGGTACGGTGGGGTGGGCAGAGGTTGGCTCAGCTCTGTGTTCAGTATCCAAACTCCACATGCCCACTAAATCCCATTGGTTTAGGTAGGTTAACTGGTGTTCAACTGTTTTTGATTTCTTTCATTCCAGAGACTCTCTGGTGTCTATTCTCTTTAGACAATAGACTTCAGATCCACTGAGTTGGGAGAGGAGCTCTTTCAGGGATGTGAAGTAGTGGAGATCATTTAGGGATCATTTTGCTTCTTAAACAGCTTTTGGACAATCCCTCCTTCTATTATTATTATTATTATTATTATTTTTAAATATATTTTATTGATTTTTTACAGAGAGGAAGGGAGAGGGATAGAGAGTCAGAAAACGCCCCACCCCCCGCCACTGGGGATGGAGCCTGCAACCCAGGCATGAGCCCTTAACCAGAATCGAACCCAGGACCCTCCAGTCCACAGGCTGATGCTCTATCCACTGAGCCAAACTGGTTAGGGCTTTTATTATTATTTTTTTAAAAATATTTTTATTGATTTCAGAGAAGAACGGAGAGGGAGAGAGAGATAGGAACATCAATGATGAGAGAGAATCATTGATCGGCTGCTTCCTGCACGCCCCACCCCCCGCCACTGGGGATGGAGCCTGCAACCCAGGCATGAGCCCTTAACCAGAATCGAACCCAGGACCCTCCAGTCCACAGGCTGATGCTCTATCCACTGAGCCAAACTGGTTTGGGGCCCTCCTTCTATTTTTAAAACTCCCATTCTTGCCCCACACCTTTAATTCAGAGCTATCCGGTGCTGCCAATTAATTCAATGCTTTTTGAGAATTCTGAGATGCACATTGTTTGTTCTCAGCTTTCCTTGCTGTTGGCCTGGGATTCAACTCTCTCTGGTCTACCAAGTCAATTGCTACTTGTCTATTGGCTTTTCGGCTTCAAAATTATGTTGCCGTATGTCTTCTTGCCTATTGTTTCTTTCTTCTTCTCTTTAAACAATCCTTTCACTGTAGTTTGGTGGTGTATGATTTAAGTGACTTTTTAAAAATATATATTGTTATTGATTTCAGAGAGGAAGGGAGAATGAGAGGGAGATAGAAAAATCAATGAAGAGAGAGAGAGACATTGATCAGCTGCCTCCTGCATGCCCCCCACTGGAGATCAAACCCACATGTGTCCTGACTGGGAATGAAACCGTGACCTCCTGGTTCATAGGTCGACGCTCAACCACTGTGCCACGCCGGCTGGGCTCGGGTGTGTATGATTTAGATGACTGTGCTCACTTTGTGGTCTTAACCCAGGAACTTTCTCCCATTTTTTCATGTCTAGCATCTTCTCATTATGCCTTAACTTAAATATTATATTTTCTGAGAGGCCTTCTCAAACCACCATATGTAAAGAAGAGATTCCCTAGATCCTTTATTCTCTATTTCAGCTCCATGCATGGCTCTTTATAGACCTTTAAAACATTTTTTTGGTCTATTTTGTTCATCCTTGGCACTTTATCATAAACATCATGAGATCAGGGGCTATAGCTGTCTCATGCACTGTTATACCCCAGTACTGGGCACATAGTTGACCCTCAATAAATATTTGCTGAATGAGTAAAAGAATACTTTATATGTATTCTGCATGAATTTTTGAGATTGTTAACAGTTTCCTCAGTTTTTTCATTTATAGGAAAAGAAGGGCAGAGGAATAAAACGGCACCTACTGTATAGGATTGTTGTGAGGCTTACAAGGGTTACTAGGGTAAAGTGTTTAGAATAGTTCCTGGTACATAGTCAATACTAAATAATGTTATAGTTTTAGGAGTTTTAAAGAGTGTCTCTAAAGAGTTATAATTTTATATTTAATTGTTTAGTTTGATCAAGTTAGAGAAATGTATGATGGATTAAATTATTCTTGGGAATTGTGCAGTATGTTCTGAGTCACAGCACGTCTAAAATTTAACTCCAGGTTGATCATGAATCTCAACTTGGACTTTAGCACTATCATGGAAGACAATGTACTTCAGCAGGGAAGTAAGGTCCCAAATATTTCCCAGAGTTTGTCCACATAGCCAGACATTTAAATTTCAGGACAGTGCTGTTTATAATTTATCTTCTTATTTAGGAATATTTGCATCTTCTTAGGGAGTATAATTTATTTTCGGTGCAATCATTTTCTTTTGAAATGGAGCCACGTTTGTTGGACAGATGGTTGATAATTCAAATATGTCTTGTGTATTGCATTTCAGTATGGAAACTTAAAGAATGATTCAGAGTCTTCAGCTTCTGTATATCTCTGAAATTATTTAATTCCCACCAAATAGCTCCTTACTTCCTCAAAAAATCTATGATTATAGAGAGCTCAGTACAGTTTAGCAATGAGAGATGAAAAAATTCCTCTCCCCCCCTCCCCCCCACCCTGTCCTTGCCATTTCAAATACTTTCTTCTTGTCACATCAGGAAGAAAGTACAAACTTGTGAGTCACTCATTGGATGGGATGGTAGGTACAAGGAATTTGGCCTCTTAGACTCTTCAATTTCAGAATCTTGATCTGAGGAAGCTGCCCAATATACTTTAAAAACAAGCTTATATAACCTAACCTGATTGCCTCAAAATAAAATAGAGCTCCCTAGTCCATTTCAAATTATTACTAATATCCAACAAACTCAACTTGGAGAAAATTCACCACTTTATCATTTTCTCCATCATGCCATGAAATGGATCTGACTTTCAGTTTCCAGCACAAGCTCGCCTGACCAATAATGCAATAGAGATCAAAGCAGCAGTCTTCTCTTCTGGCAAAGAAATTGTTTCCTCCTTTTCTTTATTGTAAGTGCTTCATGTCTGGCAAATGAAATGTTTCCATGTTAAGACTTTCCAGTTGGCAAGTAGTTAGGTATCACTAATTGATGCGTGAAAGCATTGGATGATACTAGGTAACTATGTGTGTTTTTTTGTTTTTATTTAATTTTATTTGTATTGATTTTTAGAGAGAGGAAGGGAGGGAGGGAGAGAGAGAGAGAGAGAGAGAGAGAGAGAAACATTGATGTGAGAGAGAACCATTGATCAATTGCCTCCTGCACATGGGGATCGAACCTGAAAACTGGGTATGTGCCCTGATTGGGAATCAAACACACCACCTTTTGGTGCACGGGATGACATTCCAACCAACTGAGCCATACTGGCCAGGGCTCTATGTGTTTTTTAATGTGCTAAAAAATGTATGGAGGGTTACAGCTAGTTTAATTGTTTTTCTTTATAGGTGACATGTCAGAAAATGGCTCTATTATTTACTTCCTATGTGACTTTGGGCAAGTTACTTTACCTCTCTAAGCCTTGGTTTTATCATTGATAATATGGGATTAATAACAAAAATACAATTATTGTTTTTATGTTTATTGGCACAACATAAATATTCAGAATTACGAATTATTACTATTATTTTGGCCCAGAGGATGAGGATTATGTATTTTTATTGTTGACTTATTCATATCTCGAAGTGTCTAGACCATTTTGTGAGTATTCAATCAATATCTGGTAAATGAATAAGATCACTGTTATCTTTCCCTTCACCTTTGTTGCTTAACTTTTGCTTAATGTGTAACATTTCCTAAACTCCTGACATATTATTTTTTGCAAGTTAACTGCTCAAAAATGTAATTGAATAATGTATGTGGAAGTGCTTAGAAAAATGTAAAGGCTATCCAAATGTATTTGATGATGATGATGATGATGATGATGATGATGGAGTCACTTGCCAAAGGACGGGAATGTTCTTTGCTGACCTCTCCTGTCTGTTGAAGTGACAGGTAAAGTTTGCCACTTGGAACTAAAACCTTCTAAAATATATAATATAAATGTAAGTATTGAGTAATTGAAAGGGCTAGCAATGAAATTTATGATATCTGACATTTTTTTTTGCATTTGAGGGGAGATTTGTCTGTTTTGGCTCTTTAAATATGTGTACCCTTTTCCATCACCCTTCATTTGTATCTTTTATGTGGTTTT